GAAGAGGAGAGAGGCAAGGGGGAAGTGGCACCGTGCACCGTAAGGGCACAGATGCAGAACTCGCTCTGCCCCTTCTTCACCTCAACACAGGAGGGGTCACCACAGCCCCGAATTTATTCCCTCACCCTCAGGACAAAAAGGAGAGGTTTGGAGGAGAAGGGCAAGTGTGCTGGATACTGGAGGAGTTAGGGGAATAAACTTCAGTTGTTAAGACATGAATCAGCAGCTTAGCTCCATCCTCACAGGACTGCTGGGGGCTGCTCCCAGCCCAGCCCAAGTGCTCCGAGTCCCTTCACTGCTCAGGAAGCGAGAGAAGCAAAGGTATTACACCCCAGTGTGGACTTGGGAAGTAGGCAGGGAATTGGGAAGTGAGCAGTGAAGCAACCAGGAGTTTCAGTGTCTGAAATGAGTAGTTGTAGCTGGATGAAAACTACCAGGTACTGGGCTTGGAGACCATTGGAGTGGGATGATTTTTTCCTGGGAGCACCTTGTCACAGGTCTGAGCCCTGGGGAGGGATATGGGCACTGATCCAGTAATGAGGAATTTGGTGGTTGTGCAAGGATAGGGGAGTTGGCCAGTGGGGCAGATGGGAATACAAAACTTGGAGTGTTCTCTGGGGTGGGACAGGGTGGACAAGCAACACTCCCTCGTGGGGTTATTGCAGCTTAAAGTGGGAGTGGGAGCCTGGAGCAAAACGGACACAGAGCTGTGCAGCCACCAAAGAGGTTTGGCAATCAGGGCTGGACCCTTTCATGAACAAGCTCTGCCCTGTCTGGCTTTTCTTACTCACACCAGGAGCCCAGCCCTGCACTGGGCAGTGCCCTGTGGGCCCCCCATGACTCAGCCCCAAGGCTGCAGGGATGGCAAGCACGGCTTTCCCGGGAACAGAGAGCCTGGAGTGGGTTTCCCTGACTCCCAGCAGGATTTCTGCTCTCATCGACTGCAAACCACAAAAGCAGCTGCCCAAAAACCTCAGCAGAGAATCACCCTCACTCAAGGCCTGGCAGGAGCAGCACTGCATCAGCATGGGGGGAGACACTGGGGCTCTCCCAGGACCTGGGTGCTGGAACACACCACACTTATCCACTGGAGACCATCCATACTTTTCATATTACACAATAAAAACACAAAAAAGGCAAACTCCTGTGAATAAAGGGGGAAAGATGGGGCAGCAAAGAGGCACAGAAAACAGACCCATCCCTGAAAAATACTCTATTCTGCTTAGCAAACAAGCACTTTCTGTTTGCACCCATCAAACAAACATGCTTGATTTTGTTTTGTTTCGCAGCCAAGTTATCACGTCTCGAAAATTATTTCAAGCACACAACAGGGGCCAAATAAATTGGCAAAGCAGGCTTAGGTAAACCATGGCAGAGCTCAGTGGTGAAGCACACAGCCCTTTTCAAAGCCTGAGTGGAAACCATGGGAAACATCAGGGTTAAAAAAAGCTTTGACTCGTGTTTAACTCAGATTTGACTTCCAGTGTTGGAATCAAAGGGGGGAACAAATGAAGGTATCTCACCAACCCTGCCAAGAAAGCCAGAGGAGATGTACAGAGGAGCCTGTGAAAGTGGCCCCCACCCTACAGCCAGATCTGCCTGGGGCATCTGTGAACTCAGGGGGACACCAGTGACTTTGGGGGGCACCGATGAATTCGGGAGGGCACCACTCAGGTGCCTGTGCTGCTGATGGGAACGTCAGAGCCTCGCCGTGGAAAGCGCTGACTGATGCCAATTAAAGTGAAATCATAATCAAGCCATTTGTTTTGGCGCTGAGAGAGCTGCTCCAAAGGTCTCAGCAATGCCTGGACTCAGTTCAAGCACAGGATGGAAGCTCGGGATGGGTCTTCTCCAGCGTGAACCGCTTGCTGAACCAGGGCACACGCTGCCTGGCCATGGTGGGGAGGGATGAAGATCAGCCTCATCCTCACAATGTGGCCTTGTGAGACCCAGCAGGACAGCCAGCTCTCACCTTCCCTGGCACACAAGCCCTTGGTGTAGCCCCAAGATCAGGGATCAACACACCCATCAGTAAAAACACTAAGCTGTTTGTCCCAACACCCTCAAACCTTTTTCCCCATTCCTGGCAGGTATTGCTGCGTCCAGGAGCAAATCCTACCCCTCTTATCCCAGACAGTAGCTTTAACCTGACATCTAAGTGTGGATTTAAACTTAATACAGTGATCTGAAGTGCTGGTACCAAAGACATGTCTGTACCCTGCAGCAGACACATCATGAGACAGAAGGAAACATCTGAACATCTCCGGTGACTCTGGCCCCAAACTGATTCCCTACAGCAGATTGCACAGAGCAAAGCCTGTGCCCTTTACCATGGAGAAGTCTCCTTGCAGCCTTCTATCCAGCTTCTTTTCCAGCACTGAATTCACTCTGCTGGGAGGGACAGAGCTGAAAAGAGCCTCTTGGCAGGGCACCACTGCTCGACAGCAGCTTGGGCTCCTGAGCACCTGCCACCCCAATAAAATAACTTCCTTCCGAAAGCCAAGCTCTCTCCCTCGGGAAAAGGGGGGGACAGGACTTTCCAAGTGCTTCAGAGAAGCAGCAACTTCTGCTGCTGAGTTTCAGCTTGCTGCCCCTTTTGTCATCTGAGACAAAACAAGAAGGCACCTCTAGAAACATCTCTCTCCTTCCAAATTCTTGGCTGCAACTCCCCATCCTCCCACCTTGCATGGAAATGAGTGGGATTGGATTAGACCTGATTTTTTTTTCCCTTCCCTGACTGCCACCCATGCAGGGCTGGGCAGGAGGTGGCCAGGAGCATCGTTGGGGTCTGCTGAAGCCTTTGTAGCAGCATTGCTATTCTGCACAAGTTAACTCCTCCACAACAGATCGATGGGTGCGCTGGGCTGGGAGGGGAGCAGGCAGGAAGATTCATTCCTCCTTGATTTCCGCTGGTTTTCACATGCTCCTCTTCTCCCAGCTCCTGCCACAGCACAGCACGACTGACACCAACCAGGGGATGCAGCAATGCCCCACTGCCTGCCAGGCTGGCTGCTCCCACCTCAAACCAGCAGGAAAACACCCCAAAAATTCCAAGGCAAGACACACTCCTCCACCTCTCTGTCACCAAGGCAGTGCCGAGCTGGCAGCAGCAGCAAGCCATTAATTTCCAAGAGCAATGCCTGCTCCAGGGCAGAACAGCAGGAATATCATCTGCACAGTGGGAATGGCATCCACACAGTCTGCGTATCCCAAGCCTGTCTCCTGGGGTTTGTATGGATGAGGCACCTGCCAAGGGACACAGACATCCCTTGCCACCAGACCAGCTTCCCAGTTCAACTGGGATGTGCCTATGGCAGCTCTGGAGTGATAACACATTGCTGCCCTCCCTCCCCAGAGCCACCTCCCAGGGACTTGTTCCCTTTCCCATCAATCCCAAAAGGGATTTGTTCCCTTTCCCATCAAATCTCCCAGTCAGAAGGCAAGAATCCCTCCTGCTGACTCACCCCAGCTTCCCTTTGTTCTCCACTGACACCGGGTGACCACTCAATGCCAGGGCAGAGCACCTTGGTCCATGGTGCAGACCGAGATCCTCAGTCTATCTGTGCCTGAAACCCTGTGCAGGCCCCCACCAGAGCCTCTCCCAGTAAGTTTGCAGAGCACCCACCCTGCTGCTGCCACCTTCAGATATGTATTTTGCTGCCCAGACCCCCAGTGACCCAAACCCCTCCCCCTTTGATACCCCCGTGGCAGCATCTGTAGGATTTTCAGCACTTGGGAGGACGAAGTGACTCAGGAAAGAAAAGGAGCTACTACTTTTTTAAACCAAGCTCAGCGAGGCGAATTCCTAAGCGAGACACTCCATCCTTCACCCTCGGCCACCGGTTTTCCAGCCCCTTTGCCCAGTGGTGCCATGACGCAAGACAAATCCAGAGGAACGGCCACAAGGCAGCTCCCTCCCTCCCTCCCTCCCTCCCGGGAACACGCAAGGGCTGCGGGGAGGGGGACGAGACATTTCGCTGCAAACAACGGAGTTGCAGGAAAATTCCTGCTGAAATCCCTCCCGAGGCTCTTTTCCCTGCCCTGGCTTGGCCCTGCTCCACTGGCTGGCTCGAAGCAGGAGTGCGGTGTCACCGCACACGCCCAGCTGGCCCCGCAGATGTTGGTGTCACCTATGCATCGCTCCGGGGGAGGGAAGTCGCTCCCGAGCACGCCGGAGTTGCAAGCGCCGCTTCCCAGCGCTGCAATTAAAACCTGCCTTTTGATTTTTAATGTCCCTATCAAACATCCTCTGGGATGACTGCGTCCATCTGCTGCGAGGACAGGGACGAGCGTCTGGGCATAAGATGTCCCAGAAGTTACGCTGATCAAAATTACGGATTCCCTGGCAGACCCTGCACCCCCCGGGTCGCTGCTGCAGGCGACAGGACCCCGGTGCAACGCCCAGCCCCACATGTCCCCCCTCCCCAAGGAGTTAATGCTGGCGGGGAGCATCAACCTCTGGAACCTCTGGAGCAAGGCGGGTTTTAAGGAGCGGAGCATTCACCTGCCAGGAGCCAGCCCCATCCTGTGCTTCCCCGTCCCAGCAGGTCTGAACGTGAGGAAAAGCAACAAAACCACACCGGGGGGTCAACAACTCCCCCCTTCCCCAGGCTGGGGTGGTCTGACACGCAGGAAGGCACCCCCAGCACTGCACCCCCGGAGCAGAGCAGGATTTATCCGCACCGAACACGGCCAAAGTGCCCGAGCCACGATACCGACAGCAGGAACCGAGCCCCTGCCTCGCTCCGCTGTGGGTCAGGGGGCCAAAAGGGAATCACACTCCCCTGTTTTTCACCCCCCAGTAACTTTCTCGGAGGCAACTGGGGGGGCTGAGCCCAAACCAGTCCGCTGGCGCTCCAATCTCCCGGCTCGCTGCCGTCCTGTGTCGCCAACCGACACGACGCATCCCCCGTGGGGGAACCGAGTCACGTCCCCGAAGTCACCGCGCAACCGAGACCCCCCCCCAAAGCCCCCCGAGGCCCCGGTCCAGCTGCTCCTACCTGAGCGTGGCGCTCTCCCCTTGCCGCACTGTCACGTTGTCCATGGCTTTGGGGAAGGTGGCATCTCCGCTGCGCACGGGCACTCCTGCGGGCACAAGGAAGAGCAGCCTGAGACAGAGGACGACCAGGCACCTCCAGGGCAGGGCTAAGCACCCACCGACCCCCATCCTGGGCAGCGGGGACTTTTCCAACAGGCAAAAAACACACCCGACAAGGCGAAAAGGGGGAAGGGGTGGGTGGAGAGGAGGGATGGGGGGGAGCAAAACCACCGGGGCGAGCGCTGCGGAGCTCCACGGAGATCAGGAGAGCCCCCGGCAAGGCTGGCTGCGAGCGCTGAGCCTGCCGAGCGGCATCGGAGGGAGTCCCGCTGTCCTCGGGCGAGGGAGGAGGACGGGAGGGCCAGGGGGAGGAGGAGGAAGAGGAGGAGGAGAAGTGGCAAAGGTGCTGGGCGAGCCGGTTCTTCGGGCAGCAGTCCGAGGCTCACTTGGGCGAGGAGGCGCCGGGGGGGCCCGGCTGTACCCCACTCCCGCACGCTTGTCCCGAGGCGGGGGCAGTCCAAAAACCAGTAAAAACCCCAAAAAACACCCCCGAGGCGAGCTAGCAAAGGTGTCCAGGCGCAAGAAGGCACAGCGGGCAAAAGCCTCCGGGATGCCCTGCAGCTCCTCTCCTCCCGCCCCGCTGTCGGGGGGCCGATCCAGGCGGGATGCAGGATGCCGGGATGCAGGCTGGGGACGAGAGGACGGCGGGATGCAGAGCGCGGGGCTGTCAGGCTGCCGGAGCCCCCGGCTGGGCTCAGCGGCGGGCGGGGGGGGCGCGGGGGGGCGGCGGCGGCGGCAGCACCCCGGCCCCGGCCGGCAGCATCCCCGGGGTTGTCATGGCAGCGGCTCCAGCGCTGCCCGGCGCCTCGGCTCCCGCACGCCCCGAGCCCCGCACACGGGCGGGAGGGAGGCAGCGGGGCGGGATGCGCACGGAGGACACACACGTTTAACCCCCGCCGCGCCGCGCCCTTCGCGGGGGGATGTCAAGACCCCCCATTCCGCTTTCTCCTCTCTCTCTCTCTCCGCGCTTACCTGCACCCCGCAGCACTGTCCCGTTTGCCCTCCTCTACCTCCGCACCTTCCCCATCCCCGGCGGCAAAGCCGCTGTGCAGGAGGGGAAACTGAGGCACGGGATAACATCCCCCCTTCCTCCCCAAGCCAGGTGATGATGAGGAGAGGCAGGAGCGTGTCCTCCTGGCCCCCTGCACCTCGTGAGCACAGCGTGAGCTTAAGTGGCAAATTCCTCCCCAGCCACCAGCACAGTCCCCGAGTACTTTTTATCAGCTCATAATTTAACAAATATCACATTTGCTTATGGCGAGTAATTCCACCTTCCCTCCACTAGTGGCTAAACACATTAATATTTCCAGGCACAGTTCCATGCTGGTAAAAAGGTGCTGGGGAGCATCCTCAGAGCACGGAGTCCTGGAGCCAGCAGTCAAATCACAGCTTTCGGGGTGCTGCACCCCTCAAACCCCCTCAGCTGCAGCAGCCCAGCCCTGGGGGACAACTGGGCTCCCCCACTTGCTGTCCCCAGTGACTCCTCTGCTTTGCCTTATCCAAAAATCCTCCCTCCATTCCCCACCGAGTGCTCGGCAGCTTTTACACGGCACCAGTGTGGGGGTTTTTTGTTGTTTTCGAGTTGGCTGCCAACCTGAGCTGGATTCAAACTGGTGACCTAGATGTGAAAGGATCCATAGCCCGTTACTAATCCCTGGAGTCTCCGAATCCCCTGTAAACTACTGCTTAATTCACTAACTGTGCTATTTAATCTCTAAAACATTATGAGCTGTGCCGGGCAGAGGAAACACTCCATCAAATAAAGCTTTATTATTATTGTGCGTGCTGAAGGGTCATACGAGAAGGGGATTGCTCTGCAAGTCTCTCTACTTTTTCCCTGTCTGAAGGTTCTCTGCTCCTTGAATTTAGCGCTGGTGGGACGTGCTGCCTCGAGTCCTGTGTTTTCCCAGAGGAAACAGCAGCTTTCCCCAGCCCTTGGCTGCAGGAGTTTAATCCCTGCAGTGAACTACGCTGGCTGATCTGGCAGGGGAAGGTGAGCGCTGCATTCAGCAAATCCTTTGGGGGCCACAAATCACACAGGAGGGGTCTCTGAAACCCCACTGCATAAAGAGAGAGCAGCAGAGGCAGGGTGAAAGCCTTTGTGCAGGGTTGTGGGATTGCACCAGGATGTACAAGTCAGCAAAGAATAAAACACACCACTCCTGCTGATTGCTGCAGCATCCCAGACTTCTGGAAGGATCAGGACCCTGCTGTGATACCTAGAGGACCATCACACAAGAGCTTGCTCTTTGAGAGGCCACTCCTTTGGATGGGCAGAGACCATCTCCTGTGTCAGCAAAACCAGAGGGATTCCAATAACCACAGCCAGTTAACCTTTTAACACGGAATTCAGGCCTGGATCTCCAGGAGCATCTTAAATCAAGAGAAAAAACATCTCCCTGCACTGAAAGCGTACGAGGCTGGGGCAGAATGTGACCTGCTGAGCTGCTTCAGCCCTTGCCAGGGCTGAATTTGGCCCACTGTTAGATCATCATTAGCATTGTTTGAAAATCCCAAGGAATTTACATCCAATATGCTCCTGCATACTAAAGCCCAGCAGAATCCCTGGTCTCCCTCCCTCTCTTGAATACATCCAATGTACATATAAATCAGCCTGTCACAGCTCGTCTCTTTCCTGACAGCTGTAATTGCTTCGGACTATAAAAATATCTATAGACAATAAACACAGCGCGGCAAAACAGCAAAGAGAAAACCAAATCAAGGTTCCTTTAAATAATTCAGTTGCTCCAGCAGCAGAGGAGCCAGCAACTGAGTCCAGCTGTGAAGGTTCAGCAGCGAGAGAAAGGGAGCTTTGTAGCCTCCTCTGGGGATGAGAGAGTCTTTTTTCCTTCGCTGGGTTTTGACCACAGCAGCAGCAGAGTTTGCCGCACACGGGCTGAGCCCATCCGAGCACCAAAGAGCCTCTCGCTTCCAGCTCCTTCCCTTTCTTCCTACTTAGGTAAAAGTCTCTTTTTTGTTGTTGTTGTTGCTCCACTGCGAGCAACAGGCAGGAGACGAACGGAAGGAGCAAGGCACAGGCACGCTCGAGGTGGATCTTTATCTCCGTATCTGTCCCCTCAACCTCCCCGTTCCCAGCAAGGCTAAAGGCCCCCCTCTCCTGGCCGAGACCACAAACAGAAGCAGCGAGGGCTGGACGGGTGGGAAGTGATGCAGCGGCGAGGATGGAGCCGAGGGAAGGGTTTCCACCCCCCCCGGGAGATGGGAGCTGGCAGGGAGGATGAGGAAAGCATGGATGGGGAAGGGGTTAGAAGGACAGGGAGCCCGTGGGTTTGCTTCCCAAAGGAGCGTCTCGGGGAGGGGGGAGGCTTGCAGGCAGAGCAGAGAGCTGATCAGTCCCAAAAATGTCCCACGAGGAAGAACTACGGATTTTGGCTTGTTGCAAGGGCCCCCAGCTCCTTCTGCAAGGACCCTTCAGCAAACACTGCCCCACTCTCAGGCTTTTTCAGTAAAGCCAAGCCTTAAGCAGCTAATCTGCAGATCTGAGTGGCCCCAAAGGCCGATAACCAGATGCAAATTTGCAGTTAAAGTTCTTCAATCAAGTAAAACAACACCATTGCCGCATTTTTTCCCCGCTTTCTCAGAAATATCTAACGCAATTCTCCCACCTATTTCACTTAACAGGTTGAGTTAAAGATCCTCTCATCCACCTGTACCCTTATATTTCCCTGCAAACCTACATCCATACAATCCTACACCTCCCCACACCAACAGATTTCATTCCTAGAGAACAAAAAAAAAAAAAACCCTCCTTCCAATAAGTAGGTCATAGCAAGGCAATTTGTACAGCCAGATTTCTCTTTTAATTCCTTTTTTTCCCTTTTCAGGAAGCTGATAGATGGCAATCTATAACCCCAGAGTGGAAATTTATTTTTAATCTGGAATGGCCAAATATGATCAGAAACATAATTTATGCTCGAGACATTCTCGTTCCTTCCAAATGAAAACATGATTTTCTAACCCCAGCCGTGCTATCGCATACCACATCACTCTCCAATACGCTCGCAGTTGCACAAAAAGTGCTTAATTTTCTTGGCATTAGTCAGGTGAATGACACAAGAGTCCGGGGGAGCTTTTCCTGAATAACTGAGCCCTCCGTGTCTACAACCATTCAAAGCCACAAAGGACGCGGGTTCCAGCTCCGCTCACTGACTCATTTATCCCCTCGTTAACGGTGGCCCCAATTAAGAAACAATGATTAAGAGCCTTACTTGGCTGGAGCCATTTTGAGCCCTTCTCGCCCCAAAGGCATTCCCTGCTCCGAGCTGGAGAAATTGCCTGTTCAGGGCTGTTTCTAGGGCAGTTTTTGGAATGCAAGCAGCATCCTCAGGGGCGCTCAGCCCTCAGTCCCTCGCACTGGAAGCAGCAGTGACTCCCAGCACTTCACGGTGTTTAAAAAACAGCGCAGGAGACCCCATTAATCCCTGCTAGAGATGCTGTTAATATTTAACTGCGGTTTAGATAAACTTACAGTAACCATCCCATTAAATCTCAATAAAATGTGCTTTTTTAGCCTTCCCCTAAAGCCACGCTGGGATCGGCTGCCCTGCTCTGCCTGCACTTTGCACCAGGAGCCTCGCAGTAAAAAAGGAACATTTTGTTTGCCCTTTAAAAAACTGCTGGGCTCGGGTTTGTGGCTTGCTCTCATCGTGCTCAGGGACTTTGGAATTTTCAAGCACCAGTTAACTCCTTCCAGGGCGCCCCTGGCTGAGCTGTGAAGCCTCAGCCAAGGGGCTGCAGGACCAGGTGCCCTGACAAAGGCTGCAAATCCATCCCAAGCTGGTGCTGCAAACCCAGTATGGGATTTATCACCCTGCAGCAGCTCAATAGGTCACTGAGAATGCACCACCAGAGGAAAAGGAAAGCCAAAATACCCCCCACAACACTGCCAGCCCTCAAACACAGAGATACACGGCAGCATCCTCGAGGGTGCTGGACACCCCACCCCTGGAAGTGTCCAAGGCCAGGTTGGACAAGGTTTGGAGCAACTTGAACTAGTGAAAGCTGTCCCTGCCCACGGCAGGGGGTGGAACAAGAGGAGTTTTAAGGTCCCTTTCAATACAAACCATCCCGTGATCCTTTGTACACTCCGGATGGGCCAGGCAGTGCTGCAGGACACGACATCAGGAGGGTGCACAGCACCCCTCAAGGCCTGGCTTTTCCCCTAAAATTACTTCTTCCTCCCACAGTCCTCAGTGTTTGGGCCTTTTCCAACAGCCCAGCCAACACAATAC